ATGTCTGTCACGCTCTCCGGATGGAACAAAATGCAGGGGTAGCAGAATAGAGTGTTAGCTACTTCGCAGCCCGCTAGCCATTTTTTCCGCTCATACCACGTCCTCGAAAATCACCTACCCGGGAAAATCACCCGTTTATACAACTTCCCGCTCTTTGTAGATACTTGTTTGATATTTAAATTTGGTCTTGGTGTTCCGAATTCTTTAATTGCCAATTTATCCTTATTGCTACGACGACTGAATGGTATTTCTTTCAATGACACGATAGAATTAATCTGCGCTGAGGTAACGTTCGCCAAGATGTCGATCAAGTTCAACTGACAACTGAATTTGAGTTAGCGTAGCTGTCCCCGTCTCTCTTTTTTTTTGTTTTTGTTTTTTTTTTCACATTTGATAAAGATATTAAAGTAGTTTTTCATTTTTTTCTTGTTGTTAAAATTCAAAATAGCTTTTAAATATTATTGGATGTCACTGTTCCCACCAATCCTTGCACAAGTTAAGGTTACGCATGATGACGAAAGCACGTTAGTGCTAGCCCTCCTGGAACTCATAGAGATTGCATTGCAGTGCCTGCAGTTCGAAAAAAATGATCTTTGTATGGAAGTCTATGAGAGCACTCGGGGCGATTCTCAGTCTGACAGAAATCGCCCAAAAAGGGGCGGTACTACACAAAACGCGACTCGACGCTGATTGGACTATTTAGGTCTAGAACAAACAGTGAAAGCAAGCGTAACACTGTGGTTGAATGTGAAAGAAAAAAATCCCTCCCTTTCGCGCTTTGGTGGTGCATCACCCAATTGCCCTAATGGAGAAACCGCCCCTGCCCGCCCCCCTTAGTTACTGTTGCTCACTCAGACAAACAAACGGAGTTGCTCACTGTCTTACAATGACAGCTGTCAGTGAAAACCTTCTTCCGAGGTGTGCAACTGATACTCGACTGCCATTGGCTCATCTGCGTTCGAGGGGAGGGGCTTACCGATAGGTCAATTGTAAGTCGCTTTGTATAAAAACGTCTGCAAAATGACTAAATGTAAATGTAGGGAGTGCTTTATTGTCCCAATAAGGTGACATCCATTTTTTAATTTGAATTAAAATTATCATTTAAACTCAAAACGTTATTATTGCATACTGTTTTATAATTTACTACTATATCGAGGTACAGATAATTGCCACTATTTGCATTAAAGGGATACTCCACCCCAAATTGAAAATTTTGTCATTAATCACTTACCCCCATGTCGTTCCAAACCCAAAAAAGCTTCATTCGTCTTCGGAACACAATTTAAGATATTTTGGATGAAAACCGGGAGGGCTTGTGACTGTCCCATTAACTGCCAAGTAAATTACACTGTCAAGGCCCAGAAAAGTATGAAATACATCGTCATAATAGTCCATCTGCCATCAGTGGTTCAATCTGAATTTCATGAAGCGACGAGAATACTTTTTGTACGCAAAGAAAA